TTCTCAAACCGGTTTAAACGATTTGATTTGAAAATTTGTCAAAAACCGATAAAATCGGACCGCTTACACTCCTACTGTAATTTATTAGTTCAATTTATACTAAGCATCTATACTTGTCAGTCAGCTTCGAATGATTCTTTAGAAAAAATAATAATTTATGATACTATTTTTCTTATTTTATTTTGAAAAAATAATTTTTGGAAGCAGTTTTATGGTTGAACTTTGTATTTATTTTATTGTTTTAAGCTTGTATCGAGGCAATTGATTATATTGCAATGTTTATGTTTGCATGTTTAAAATTAAGTGTTATATTGTGATTTTCGACCAATATATCTATTTTTGACTGTGTAAAAAGAAATTCCACAAAGAAAATTGAGTGAATTACTTGCATTAATGTTGAGTTTTGCTGGGTTTAAAGAAAAATTGAAGTGCCACGATAGATTCATCGGTAATTTCCTATTCTCAATAAAAGAAATAATATGTTGGTGCTTTTCAATTAGTTGGGACATTAGAATATACTAAAAATTGTCTAAACTAAGACATTCAACCAACGACAAAATTTTCGATCAAGGAATATGTTTTCGTATAGATTTTATTAAAAATCAAATAGGAGTCCAATAAATCTGAATTGACGAGAAACAAACTTATGATATATAGAAACCCGACAATTGCCTCCATTTTAGTCCCCAAATTGGTTCTATGAATCAATCTAATTAACTTAAATAGAATTTCATAGAAAAAGAAAAATAATAATAATAAAAAAATTCTGATTCAAAATACGCAAATTAATTAAGTGAACAATTTATTGTGACATAAAAGGCATATACATTAGTATTAATTTAGCATACTATATACGTTTTCTTTAATGTTTGTCGTTTCAAATTATTCAATAGGTTTAAATCAATTCATATACAATTGAAAATTATAATTCAATAAAATTATGTACTCATATATAAAAAATACTATAAAATTGAAAATTATAATTCAATAAAATCATATACTCATATATAACAAATTCATACATATATACACGAATTTTATGTCGAAAATAAACTTATTTTATATATCTCAAAAAAATCATAGTAA